GAGTAGCTCAGGCCTTGTCACTGGCACAGCCGCTGTGGGCCTGCTGTGCTTCTGCCCGGCTCTGCCCGGTGTGTCTGTTCAGTTGATCAGAACTGGGGAGCAGCCTCTGTCATTTTATGGGCGTGGTTTGATTTTCCTATGGTCTGAGTGTCCTGGAAGACATCTCATAACTTAATAATCTTCAAAACTGAAGTTTGATGATCTGCTATCTCAGAGTGAGGATTTCATCTTCCATGTAGCTGTGGCCCCTCTGTATGGACACCTTGTTCCTGTGGGGGAGTGGCCTTGTCACCAAGCCCCCTGCAGGAGCTCTGCACCCACTTGTGCTATCCTCTGTGGAGCCTGACAGGCAGTGTGGGTGGGAGGAGCCTGTGCTCCTAGGGCCACTCTCCCTGCCAGTGTGAGCACAGCCTTGTTTCAGGCACTTTGTGGGCACACTGATTTACACTTGGAAAACATTTCTTAGTTTTGATTTCCATTTTTAAGGTACTGATGAGGTTAAATGGTTTTCAATTAGTTTGGTTTTTTTTTTTTAGTCTAAATTGTTATTTCATTATTTTCCCATTTTTTCCTCTTTAGCTTAGGAAACCTTTTGTAAGGCAGATAACCTTTTTATATTTATTGTTTCTATTTTTCTGTTTGTCAATTTACTTTGGGGATTTTTTTTTAAACATAAGGAAAGCTTGGCTCTATTCAAAATTAACATAAAATTTTACTTTACTTTTCTTCTTTTCTGTGCTTTTGCTTTCAGTCAGTCCGTCTGGATTTATTTTGACTGTAACACAAGGAGACAGTTGGGTTCCTTCCAGATTCTTAGCTTACTTGCTAAAACCATTTATTAAACAACTCACTTCCAATTAGTGTATTATGCTTCATAAATCATATTTTAAAACCCAAGTGTGTATGATGTTTCAGGGTCAGCTGTTACCGTCTGTTGATCCTTTCATTTTTGTATCAATACCATACTACTTTAATTACAATTATAATTGTAATTTTGTTCTTTGAAAAATTGCCTGTGCGTTCTCATGTGTTGGTCCTTCTGTGTTGCCGGATGCTGATGGCAGCACGTTGGTGTTGGCTGTCACTGAGTGCAGACTCCGTCAGACTGGAGGCTCAATCCTCAGAATGCTGCCACGGTGTTCCTGTTTTGCAGAGGAAGTGCCCAAAGCCTTGCTGGGTGGCACAGCTTCTGTGAGGTAGAGCTGTCCTGAACTGTGGAATTGAGACTGTGCTGGAAGCCACTTGGGGTGACAGGAACTATGCATAGCGAAGGCCGTGCTGATGGAGAGGACATGGTCGTTTTCCAGACAGCCTCCTTCCTGTGGCCACAGTGCGGTTCCTCCCTCTCCCCTCTTAGCATCTTCCTGGTGCCCTGTTCGCAGGGCTCTGTTGAGAGTGGTCTCCTCTGCAAGCCCTAGTGGCAAGCAGGTTGAACTGCTGTCCTTGGAGTGCCTGTCCCACCAAGGCGTGGCGCCTTGGGGCGCTGAACCCCGAGCCAGGACTGCCCCCAGCCACTTGCCAGTTAGACACAGGTCGTCACCACTCCTTGTAGCAGGGAGTCTGTTCACTCCCCCACAGGCAGCTTCCAATAAGGAGAAGGACAGCAGGCAGCAGAGATCAAAATTCTTCTCCAAAGTTCAAATAGCAATGAACATTTTTACTAGTGTGTGAATTTTTTTGAAAACGGTTGTGGTGAATGCTGCAGGTGAGAGGACAGCAGTCCCTGCACCTGCCGTCGGGTCCGCAGCCCAGCAGGCCACTGGCTGAGCAGCTCCATGCACATGCTGCTCCCACCCATACGTGTGGGGTTCATGCCTGTGCCTCTGTCCACCTGGGCACCTGAGTGCTGCCCGCCTTGGAGAGCGGCTTCTTCACGGTGAGAGGGATTTCTTGGACACAGTTCCTTGTTCCTGGAGGAAGGTGTATGCAGGGTGTGATGCACAGGCGTGGGTGGGGCCTTGGAGTGGGACATCTTGTATTGAACTCCAGACTCCTCCGTGTGCTCTCCGTGGGGTACCCCTATAGGAAGTGCAGATACCTGCCTCACAGAGGCCAGAGGCCTGATGGCATGCTCTGCTCAGGGATGCCTGGTGCCCACTCTGAGGGTGTCCATTGAAGGGAGGTTCTGGTCATCCTGGAACAATTGGGGCAATGGGCAACAATACCTGGGAGGCCTCCCGTCACGGTTGGATCTGTATTTGCCAGGGGGAACTAGGGCCAGAGCAGGCCTGTTAATCTGTCCTGGGCCTCACAGGCCTAAGCCTCCAGAGTGGTACTCGGAGCCCTTGTCACGAGGAGGGGCTCTTTACACTACATGCTGCCTATCAGCTGGCAGGACCTTCTTGGCCCCAGGACAGCTCTCCCAGTCTGGAGGACCTGTGTGTTGGGCTAGGTGACTGTGTGTGAATGGTTAGGACATGTAGGAGGGGCCTCCACCTGAGCCACCTCAGCCCTGAGAGGATCAGCTTCTGCTGCAGCTGGGCCCAAGTGGGGAAGGGCCTAGTGGTTGTCCAGATGTCTCGGAGAAGACTCAGAATCGAAGTCAGGAGGCCAGAATCATTGCTGTCTTGTTTCTTTTAAACCTGAGGTATTTAGGTGCCATCTGTTTTCTGGGTACATATAAATATGAAGTGTGGTCACTCCTGGGACCATCGCAGAGGAATAGAAATATTGCAGGAAGCCGGGACTTGGAGAACCAAGTGCTCCATGCCGAAAGCTCCTGGGAGCCCTTGTCCTAGGTCTGCATGCAAGGACAGTCTGTGGCCCTTGGGCCCTGCGAGTGATGTGGCCTGATGTCCAGTGTGTTTCTCCATCCCCAGGTGGGTTCCAGTGGCCCTGGACGCAGAGTGTGTGTCATTGACGAGATTGGGAAGATGGAGCTCTTCAGCCAGCCTTTCATCCAGGCTGTGCGCCAGACACTGTCCTCGCCAGGGACCGTGGTCCTGGGCACCATCCCCATCCCCAAGGGAAAGCCACTGGCCCTGGTGGAGGAGATTCGGAGCAGGCCTGACGTGAAGGTGTTCAGTGTGAGTACCCATCAGCAGAGGCAGTACCTTCGCCTGCTCCTGGGCCTTGACACACCGCTCCCCCCTACTGCAATGTCATGAAACTATCCTCTACACGCTGACAGACCATGGGGGTCATGGAGTGTCCTGTCCCATGACCCCCTCCTGCCCTCCTGTGCCCCTGCGTCTGCCCCACCGCCCCCTCCCATCCTCCCTTGCCCCTGCGTCTGCCCTGCTGCCCCCTTCTGCCCTCCTCTGTGCCTGCGAGTGCCCTTGGCGAGCTCTGCTTGCTGTTCCCACCCCAGGATAAAAGCCTTCCAGGTGCAGGTGGTGAGTGAAAGATGCCAGCTTCTCAGTGGGGCTGTAGCAGAATGAGCACCTGCCTCACATTGGCAAGACCACCTGGCCTGTGGGCCCTGGTGTGATGTTGCCACCAAGCATCCTGTGGCTGGTAAACAGCCAACCAGTGAGGCATGTGCACCTCTCACGTGTGCACTCCCTTGGCAGGTGCTGACTGAGCACATACCGTGTGTATGGCATTGTTCCATGTCTTGGTGGGTCTGTTCTTAGGGAGCTGTGGCCAAGTGCAGGTGGCCGAGTACACAAGCCGGATGCCCTGTGTGGGGAAGTAAGGCCCAGCAGCATGGCCAGGTGGCCTGGTGGTGGGCAGCACTCAGAGGAGGTCTGTCCCAGGAGGAGACATCTCAGTGGAGGCTGGAGTCCTCATGACAGTGGCTTCTGAGCCCTCCTGCCCCTCTGCGCACTGCCTCTGTGATAGAGGTTTGTGATGACAGTGTCTGTGGGGTAGAGGCAATGAGTGCCAAAAGGTCACAAGATGGCACGTTCATGCTGGAAGGCTGGTAGTGTTAGCACCAGAGACCTGAAAGTCCTGAGGAGGGTCAAGGGAGCTGAGGGCCATGTGCAGAGTGAGTGCTGTGTCTTGAGATGAGGCTGTGTCCCCTGCTCTAGGGAGGAGGTCGTCCTCCAGGCAGGGCCATCACTGCTCCTAATGAGGGTACATGAAGCATCAGCTCCTTTCTGGTCCTGGCTTATGAACCAGAACGTTGTTCCTTGTCAGCAGACCTTAGCAGCTGGCTTACATGTGGTCTTGGGTCCTTTCTGATCCTAAGATACAGTGGATGTTTAAAAATGTGTCTGAGAATGTCCTCTGCCTGCAGCGTCCCTGGAGCAGGTACCTGTGAGGAACAAGGACCATGAGGCAGGAGAGGCATGGAAGGGAGGAATCTGAGCAGAGGGGAGGGGTAGGGAAGAGAAGGGCGAAGGTCCCCCACCCCCATCCCCACTCAGTGAACACACAGGTGGGAGGGGCTGGGGCGCATGGTGTGGCAGGGAGATGCCCCCAGATTCAGTGCCAGGCAAACAACTTTGCTCTTCAGAAAAACTTGGGGCAGGGTGGGGGAAATCATGTCTCATTCTCCTCGCCGCCTTAGAGCCTCAATGACATCTGTAGGACAAGCAGAAAGCCTGAGAGATGGGGAGGAGGCAGATGGGCTGGGGATCTCTGGACTCAAATTGTGGCATGATAGACATGGCTGCTGGGAGTGCTTTGCCTTGGGGGAGAAGAGGCGGCCAGCAGATACCAACTTCCAGCCACTGTGTTGGGGTCATGGGGCAGGATTGAGCCTAGTGTCTGGCCACCGTCTCAGTGACCATCATAGGCCCTTGAAGCAAATGAAGAATAGAAAGTCTCAGAGAGAGTGAAAGTCTTAGCAAAAATAGAGAAGATAGGAGAATCCCAGGAATATTATAGAACCATGAAACACAGTAACAAATTAAGAAGTTAATCCACAGGCCTACCCTTCTGGGGTTGACAGAAGAAAGAACTGGTGGATTTGAAGACAAAGCAATAGTTTACCCACAGAGCGGGCCCTGGGGACAGTAAGGTGCAGTCGCCCAGATCTCCCATGTTTGTTAAAGGACACAAACCTACAGATTCAGAAAGCCTGGTGACCCTCAGCAGGGTAGACCAAGCGTCCATGCCAAGAGCCTCAGCACCAAGCCTTGGACATTGAGACGAGTCCCGAGGGCAGTGAGAGAAAAGCGGCCCCTGACTCAGGCAGAAGCAGCGACTGCAGAGAACCCTGTCAGACCAGGGGCCGGAGGTGCAGCTCTGCTCCAGGCTAGGAGCAGCACCTGGGCACCCAGAGGACTCTGCCCAGGTGAAGGTCCCTCAGGAACCTGGGGAGAACACTCTGCGCAGAGGCAGAACTGCACACCATGGCTGCGTGTCCCAGGCTCTCCAGATCACATGGGGCAGGTGAGACAGAAGTGAGGACATTCTCTAGTGTGTAAGTAGATGAAGAAAGTCAGTCTCCAGAAGGGAAGCAGAGCCCTGCTCCAGTCGCCTTCACTGCCCCACAGGTGTGGCGGGAGAGCTGTGGTGGACCTGCCACCTGCCCTCGGGATCTTGTGGGTGCTGCTCTCTCCCCTGCAGGCTCCCCAGCGAGGACAGCAGCCTTGCTGCATGGAGGGGACCTGCCAAGCAAGTGTGCATGGGATACATCCAGTTATGGGATGCGTCCAGCCATGGCTGGGCAGAAGGGAAGGCCAGGCAGGGTGGACAGGTCTCTGGAGGGACCAGAAAGCCTCTCCAAGTGCTGTTTGAGCACCAGCCTTAGGCAGGGGGAGGATCAGGCTAGTGGTTACCTGGGACAAGAGTTTGTCTCCAGTGACTAACTTTTAATTTTGGAGTGGACTTTGGCATTGCTGCCATTGGTCTCTGTGAGAGAAGTCACTGACTTGTTCTGCCTTTCAGCCTGCATCACAGCATTGGCAAGGTTCAGATCCTCTGCAGTGGGCACCTCAGGTGCCATGAGCCTGGCGCCTCACCTGGCTCGAGTCCCTGGCTGCAGCCGGGGTGCTGTCTGGCCTCTAGGCTGTGTGTGCTCCCTGCTGCCCTGGACATGCTCCTGCCTTGCCGGATGCTGTCCTCCCCTATTCCAACAGAAGCTGAGCTGCTGATGTTGGCAGTACCATCTTGGTCAGCCCAGGTGCTTCCCTGACCTGCTGTGTGCCGCTGGGCTCCTGGTCCTGCTTGTTCTGCCTGCAGACCTTCCAGCCACAGGAAGGTCTTGGAGGTGTAGGAACTCTGCTGAGGCTTGGGCACTGACCATGGCCTTCTTGAAGTTATGCTGGTCTTTCAGGACTTTGGCCAAATTTTTTCATGACTTCTAAAGTCTATTGCTCTCTAAATATAACCACTAAAAACTTTTTTAAAATTTTTAAAACTTATTTTAGTATTTGGCTAATGGAGGCTAATTATGAAAACAACAGGTAATGGCTGTATTGATGCCAGAGAGGCAGAAGGTGAAAGCCTTTTGGATCCAGGGGACTGGAAAGGGTGATGTGTACTTTTTGTAGTTTCCTGATGAACAGGGCAGAGCAGACCCGCAGGCTGGGAGCGTGTGTGGAGGCTCAGCCTGCAGACTCGCCCCACCAGCAGCATGCAAGGCAGGAGGCAGCATCCACCAGAGCCTGCAGCAGCAACCGTGCCCACTGTCCTCGGTGACTCCAGAGTCTGAGCACTGGCATGATTCCGCGACTCTGCAGCCTCCGTTCCTGGAGATAAAGCACATGGTTTGGCCACACGAGCTCAGATGCTTAGAAGTTGTTTGATTTTTCTGCTTTATAAAAGTGTTAATTTAACCCAAATCTACTTTCATGGTCAGAATCCAGAGCCCTTTAAACTTGCTTCTTTCACAAAGCCATTTTTATTCTTTCAGTTGTCACTTTGGGGTTGCAGGATCACAAGTGTACTAGATGCTAGGTCCCAACTTCTAATATGGAAGTTTTTAGACCTCATGCTCTTTTTCCTGTGTGTATGTTAAACAAATAGGACATAAATTGTTTTCTTTTTATTGGGAATTCTGTACCACACACCTGCTCTCTGGATGCAGAGCCAGGGCCGGAGCTCATCCGCCAGATGCTGGATACAGTGAGATCAGAAGTCAGTGGTGGTCAGGTCTTTGTACAGAAATTGAGAGGCCGATCCTGAAATGCACATGAAAATACAAGGGGCTCAGCCGATTAATCTGCAAAAAGAACAATGTTGGAGGACTCACACTTGCTGATTTTAAGTTTCACTCAGAGTAGTTGAAACTGTTGCACTAGTGCAGGGTAGACATGGAAACCTTCGGAAGAGAGTGGAAAGTTCAAAAACAGACTCTTAGTCTGTGATCAGTTGATTTCTGTGAGGGAGCTTGGGTAGTGCAATGGGGGAAAGAGCAGTGTTTTCCACAAACGGAGCCTGAAAACTGGATAACCACATGCAAAAGAATGGAGTTGGGCCCTTACTTCACACTGGGCACAAAATGAACTCAAAATAGGTCATAGATTTAAATATAAGAGGTGAATCTATAGAACTCTTGGGAGAAAATATAGGACTCAATCTTTGTGAACAGCAGCTAGGCAAAGCCTTGTTTGAAAGAACACTGAAAACTTAAATGACAAAGGAAAAATAGGTGAGTTGGACTATACCCAGATGGTCAGCCTTTTGCTTCAGAGCCGCCAGCCAGAATGGAAGACAAGCACAGAGGGGAGAAGAGGCTGGCAAATAATGTACCAGATGGGCTGTGGCCAGAGTCCCACACCTGTGGACCTGCTAACATAGTGTCCAGCAAAGGCAGAGTTATCAGACGGAGTAGAAGTGGCCAGGGAGGGTGGGCGGGGGTAACAGAATGGGGTTTCTGTGTGGGGTGATGACATGTTCTAATCTTAGATAGCATGAGGATTGTGGACTCTGAATGCGCTAAACACTGAATTCTACTCTGGAGGTGAGTTTTATGATGTATGAATTATGTCTCTGAAACCCCACCACCACTGCACAGAGAAATACAGGTAGGAGGTCCACCTAGAAAACCCAGGCACCATTGCCTTCTCTGGGAGACACAGATCAACACTTAGTGACCACCTCTCTTCTGCATGTGGAGAGAAGCGTAGTGCCATCTGGGGCTTCCCCTTCTCACAGAGCCGCTGATGAGGTCCTGGGACCCTACCTGGTGCCCTCATCCAATCCAAATCATCTCCAAAGATCCCAGCCCCAAATGCCATTGTGCAGAGGGATGTTTCCCAGACATTTGCCTTGGTGGTCAGTCAAACCAGAGCTGGCCTGCTGGGGCCCGCTGCTCCTCTCAGGCCTGCCCACACTGGCCTCTGCAGGCCTCCAGTGTACCCCTTCCTCATACCAGGTGTGTCTCTGCTCAGGTCCCTCCATGCCCAGGTGCACCCAGCTGTGGAAGCCCTGGGCTACCCCTCTAAGTCCTGTGCCTCCCTGGCCCCTTCTTGGTCACCCCTGCCCCCATTCACATTACCCGTCTCCTGGTCTGTGAATTCCACCATGTTAGGGTCCTTTCTGAGATGTCCTTGCCTTTGTGTGTGGAGCGGGTGTCCATGTGGGCCTGGGGGGGCACAGCGACAGGAGGAGTCAGCCTTGCCCTCCTGAGCCCTCTGCGTTCTCTAGTTCTGCTTGAGTCTGGCAGTGAGGGCTGGAGTCTGGCGGTAAAGGCGGTGAGGGCCGAGTCTGGCCGTGAGGGAGACATGCAGCAGCAGGGCAGGTGGGGCTGGAATAGGCTCTGGCTGTCTTGATTGACCTGTTTGTGTTTGATGGAAGACTCATGCCTGGTGCCCTCATCCAATCACTTCTCTGGCTCAGCCCCTCCTCTTGCAACACTCAGGTCCACCAAGTCCCTGGGGGGCCAGGTAGTTCTGACTAGGGAGCATATTCAGGGTTCTGGGTGCCCCTGGGTCTGTGGTGGCTCCTTCTGTGGCAGTGTGACCGTCCCGCCTGCCCTCCCAGGGATTGAACCCAGGATGCTTAACCACTGGGCCTCAGCCCCTCCCCTTTTAATTTTTCTTTTGGAACAGGGTCTCACTAAGTTGCTGAGTCTGACCTTGAACTTGGATCCTCCCGCCTCAGCCTTCTGAGTCACTCGGGGTCACAGATGTACACCATTGTGCCTGGCTCCTGGCACTTCTTGAGCTGTCTCTGCAGAGCTGACGGTGGGACTGAGACACCTGTCCCATCCCAGAGCGTCCCTGGCGAGCTGGCTTCGGCTCCCTCCCAGACTTCCTGGCTCTCCTTGTCCGTGTTTCCTCTCAGGGCAGAGGGAAGAAGGGAGCTCTGAAGCCTGCTCTTTGCCTTTCCCACAGGTCACCAAGGAAAACAGAAACCTCCTTCTACCGGATATCGTGACGTGGGTGCAGAGCAGCGAGAAGTGAGGTGGGGCTACTTCCTGCACTGCTGCCCTCAGGAGGCGCCCAGTGGCCTGCTGCGAATGGCCATGACTCAAGGCTTCTGGACCTTGCGGCCAGGAAGGCTGACAGCTGCTTCCCACAAGGTTCAGCAGGTCAGGGTGGCCGTGTGCTGACCACAGCCCCTCACAGCCTGCTCACGCTCAGGGCTTTCTGTTCATTCCTCCTCAGCCGTGCATGGTCTGGTAAAGCAGGAACCGAGCAAAGGTGCTAGTAGTCACTGGAATTTGCTCCACTGAAGTTTGTCCTTGTGTTGCCATGTGGACAGCAAGCTCAGTGCCTGTTTACCGCAGGTCCTGAAAGTGAAAGACCTGTCCAGGGTTCTGTCTCCTGCAGCACGAAGTCTTGTTTCCTAGGAAAGCCATTTGGGGTTCTCCTCCATCTCTTGTATATTTCTTCATTAATTGCTAAATAAAATTAAAGCAAACCTGGTGTTTCAAATGCACGGGTCTTTCTGTGGGTGGGCCATCTGGCCTTGGAGTGGCCTTTGCCACCTGACACTCAGGCTGAAGGGCAGCAAGAGCTTGGCCAGGTTCCTTCAGAGCCCTACCTGGGTCGTTGGCTTGGGTGCATTATTTTAACTTTTGAGCCTTGTTTCCCTTCCAGGAAAAGGGCCAATGGCTGTCCTCAAAGCAGGTGGTAAGAATTCAGAGCGAACTATTCTCAGCACTGGGCTGGCCAGTCAAGAGGAAGGTCAGCCCACAGCAGAGGCTCTATAGAAGAGGGAGGTAGAAAAGCCTAGGCACTGTAGGATTATAAGACTGCCCCCCACGGTGATCCTCGAGTGACAGCTCCGTGTTTTCAGGTCATTTTGGGTGAAGATCTGTGATTTTCCAGGATTTTTTAGCAACCAGCTATGGCACCCCTGCTCTGTAACCGACAGGGCTGGGCACCTGCAGGTGGCGGCACCTGTGTGGCACACGAGCAGGGCCCAGGCACAGCCTCTGAGCAAGACCAGGGCCTGCAGCCAGGCAGAGTCCTGGACGTGTCCCCTGGAGGGACCACAGCAGGTGGCCTCCAGACTGGGAGCTAATCCCTCAACCAGGGCCTCCTGCCCAGGAGCAGGAGAGGCTGCCTCCTTCCACTGTCCCTGTCCGGGTGGCCAGGTGCTGTGTCAGGGTGGGCTGTGGGGCTCAGTGGGCCAGGATGGCTGCCACCACACCTGGCAACCTGACCCAGCCAAACTCTGAGAGCAGCACAGCCTTGAGGGGGGCCCCTGCCAACCTGAGGAGAAGAGGGTGGAGGGAGGGGACAAGGAAGGGCTGGGGAGATGTCCCTCACCTGCATCCTGGAAGCCCCAGTGCCACCGCCCAGCAGAAGCGGGACTCACTTGGGTGCCTTTCCTGGGCCTGTAGCAGTGGTTGTATGCTCCCAAGTAGGAATGTGTCCCCCTGCACTGTCCCTGTGCTTCAGAGTGATATTGGCTGAACCCTGGCTTTGTCTCAAGTCAGGAAACTAGTGAAACTTATTTCAAAGAAGACAGAATGGCTGGCTTGGGGCTTTGTGCTCAGGCAGGGTGTGGTACTCTGCTTGAGGGTTGGCACCAACTCTGTGGCCCCTGGCTGGGGCACTGACCAGCGTAGAGGGGCAGTTGAACTGTCTGAGGGGGCTCCAGAGCAGGCGCTCTTGCCAGCACTCCCTGTGGGTCCTTCAGGTTTTCTGCGTCTTAGTGTGCCATGTGCCCCAAGCCTTGCAGGTGATGTTTAGCTGTGACACTGTGGCAAGTCCTGTCGTGATTATTGTATTACCATGTCAAAGAGAATGCTCAGGGCATGTGTGAAGGTGCCAGATGTAATCCCTGTCTCAGGATGCACCAGGGACTCCAGGAGGGCACCATGGGTCTGCAGCTGGCCTGGATCCCGACATAAGGGGCCGACGTGGTGCCGCTTGTGTGCAGCATTTTGGCGGGAACAAGAGGCTGTGTGATGCAGAACCAGTTGGGGACTGGCTTGCTGCCCACGATCCCTCCTGTCCTTGGCAATTCTGTCACCAGCCATGCCACACGACAGGCTTTACAGATGGACTCCTCTCAGCTCTGAATGGGGTGACTCGTGGAGGGAGGAACAAGCCTCTTAAATTGGCCGACAGGGAGAGGCTCCCAGTGCAGTTGCTTGTCTCAACCACCCAAATCCCAGGGCACTGGTGCTGGTGGGATGCCTTGCCCCTCCCTCCCTTCCTTCTGTCTGGTGTGGCAGGATGCCTTGTCCAGGAGGATGGCACCTGGGTGCCAAGAGCAGGTGTATAGCACCTAGACCTGAGTGGACAGGGAGGGTACAGGGGTCAAAGCGCATGCAGATCTCAGAGGCAGCAAGATGTTGGGTGTTGGGCGTCTGAGAGGCATTTGTCAGGCAGGTGCGGAACATGGTGCAGAACTTGGCCTCCTGACTTCCACACAACACAACAAGCATAGTGTTACGTCACTTTGAGGAGGGAACTTTTCATCCAGGGTTCAAATACAGAAAAACAGCTGTGTGTTGGGAGAACTTGTGAGTGCCCTGGCAGTGAGTGCCCTGGCAGTAAGTGCCAACCCAGCCCCTGCAGGGCCCAACCTTGGTGGAAAGCACTCTGCTGCGGCCAAGCAAGTGCCTGAAGGCCCAGGGCGCAAGTTCCTGAGCTGTGGGTGTGAACGTCTGTCCTGTGCCAGGATCGAACACAAAGCTGCAGCTGACAGTCAGTGCAGCTTGCACGGCCACAGTGACTCCAGAGCCATGCTCCTCTTGGTGGTGCCTGTGGGCACCCACACCTCAGCATGCATGCTCAGGATGCCCAAGCTACTTCCTGCACAGCAGGTGGCACAGTGAGGAGTAGCCCATGGGGGTGAGAGGGCGCACCAGGCCTCACCTCCCATGCACACTTCTCTGCAGGTGGGTCCTACCCCCTCCTCAGGAGTCCCCATCTGCTCTGCTCTGGGTCCCCAGGAGTGGCTGACTGTGCCCCAGACTGACT